TGTGTGTGTGTGTGTGTGTGTGTGTGTGTGTGTGTGTGTGTGTGTGACACCTAGTCACTTGAAAACTCAATCTTTCTAAAACGCTCAGAACTACTGGTCCTCAGTTTGTGAGTCCTTTCACTTGGTCCTCAGTTTGAGGTATTTACAAGAGTGTGTGTGTGTGTGTGTGTGTGTGTGTGTGTGTGTGTGTGTGTTTTTGTGTGTTTTCGTGTGTTTTCCAGTTCAATTAACTAGACGAATTACAAAAAGAATATTAGCAAAATATGAAACTATCACTAATCTAAACAAATTCATAATAAACAAACAAATCAACAGAATTACCACTACTCAAAGTAAAAGTGCAAGATGGCTCCCACAGTGTGTGTGTGTGTTTTCTTCTCTTTTCCAGTTCGATGCGGAGTATCGGCGCTTTGCTCTGAAGAGAAACGGACAGGGGGGCTTCCAGGAGTTCTACCGGCTCCTGCAGACCATCCACCACATCCACGGGCTGGACGTGCTTTTGGGGTACGCCGATATCCACGGGGACCTGCTGCCCATCAACAACGACGACAACTTCCACAAGGCCGTGTCCTCGGCCAACCCACTGCTCCGGATCATAATCAGCAAGAAGGGTGAGTGAGAGGGAAAAGGGAGGACGAAAACACAAGGAGATGCCCCACCGGAGGCCTGGCTGAAGACCAGAACAAATTAGATTTTTTTTTTTTTTTTTAGATTTTTTAATATTTTAAATCTTGATTATTTTTTACATATTTTTTCTGATTTATTTATTCAGAAAATTTGAATTTTCCTACAGTATTTTTAACTGTACTTTTAATTTTTATTACAGTTGAATTTTAATTTTAATTTTAAATGTTAATTTTCCTACAGTATTTAGAGAGGATGGTCCTAGGAAGGTAAGCATTTTTTGGGGGCCCCAAATTAGCCACTGATAAAAGAGTGTGTTTGTGTGTGTGTGTGACTCTTTTAATGGAGCTAACATGTTCAGTAAAAATATGAAGAGCAAATTAGAATTCAAAATTGTAATATATTTTTCAATATTTCAAATGATAATTTTTTATATTTTTTTTCTGATTTATTTATGTAATTTTAATGTTCCTAAAAGTATCTAGAAAGGATGGTCCTAGGTAGGTAAAACCATTTTTTGGGGGGCCCAAATAAGCCACTGATAAAAGAGTGTGTTTGTGACTCTTTTAGTTGAGCTAACACGTGCAGTACAAATATGAAGAAAACAAATTAGAATTCAAAATTGTAATATTTTTCAATATTTCAAATCCTGAACAGCTTCAGAGAAAGCCTCCGCTTTCCAGACTAAACCAGATAATCCACCGCGATGAGAGCAGTGGCTGTTTTAGATAATGTTTGTTCATTTCATACACCACTGCGTTATGAACCCATCCCCACAGATTCTGAGCCATTAATCCTCAGATTAATCGGAGGGAGGCTTTTCCCCGTTTGCTGCTAACGAAGGAGGAACCGGGCAGGTTTTCTGATCTGTGGACCACAGACATTTGAAAAGAGGTGTCATTTATACACAGTATTCATTCGGTATTCTGGAAAAGTTTCTTTAAAATGCCCAAAATGCTAGTTTCAGGGTGTGTAATGGTTTTGGCTAGTGTCACCAGGTAGTTTGTTGATATAAAAGCTTTTAATTTAGTTGTCAGTGACACTCAACACAACAAAGTTAAGACCGGTTCTCCCCTTCCACGGCAGCTATTTGTCCCCTCTTTTGGACCTCCCCACTAATCCAGACGCAGTGTATTTAAAGCTCAGTCTCTCTCAGTGGCTCTGAGCTGTGCTCCAACACAACAGAAAAACACCACAAAGGTATTTTTGGGTTGCCTGCTGCTTCATTTGCTATTGGAACATTATTGCACATGTCAAACATGGATCTCTAAAATTGAAAAATACAAATTTAGATGTTGGCAGAGAGGATTTTGTCCAAAACCACATTTTGTTCGTGTATATTCGACCGGTTATCAGGGAATAGGTTCAGTTCGGAGAAGGAAAAAGGATTCCAAGTGTTTGATGAGATGTGTATTTTCTTTGTCGCTATTTTTTCTGTACCATTTTTCATCCAGTCTGTAGCAACATTACCTCACTCACCTCCCCCCACTTTCTTTGTCCTTTTCCCCGTCTCTCTCTCTTCTCCTCTCTCACCCCCAACCGGTCGAGCCCACCCTGAGCCATGGTTCTGCTCCAGGTTTCTGCCTCTTAAAAGGAAGTTTTTTCTTCCCTGTGTCGCCTAGTGCTTGCTCTTGGTGGGAATTTTTGGCAGTGGCAGACCGTGCATTTTACACCTAGGCCTTCAGTAGTTCTCCGTCTGAATCAATTCACCCCTCAATAACTATTTTATGGTTATAGAAATCATGTTATTAAGCAGAAATGCAGTAGGGATGTCCCGATCCAGCTTTTTGTATTAAAGTCTAAAGTTATTTATCTACTTACTTAGTTGTCAGACTAATGTTGAACAGGGATTTACTCTTATAACAACTAAAGTTTACACAGACCTGTGGGTTACAGATGCTAATGCTAATGCTAATGCTCGGTGGGATCGGACTTTAAAAAAAAATAGATCTGGAGTCTGGATCGGCAGTTTCTCAGGCCGGCCGATACGATCCAAATATCGTATCGGGACAAGCCTAAAATACAGTATGATATAATTAACATCAGTCTGTGATTCAGATATTTTCTTAGGCCTGCAGAGAAGGCCTTGAAGACCCTGACGTTTTCGGGCTTCTGTAAATAACTCAGAGTCTGGTCTGACCTGCTCTGTTTGGAAAGCTGTGAGATGACTGTTGTTGGAATTTGGTGCAATATAAATACAATTGAAAATTAGAATTTTCTTAACCAAATCCGGTTTCAGCAATGCGGAGACGCGTCGTAGAGAAATGATCGAGGAGACGCTGAAAAGTGTCGTCAGAGCTATCAGGTGTCCAAAAGGAGTCCCGGCCTCTCTATAGACAGTTGTCACTCCATGAATGTAAACAGTGAGGTAGTGTGAACGTGGACCTTATCAACAACGACAGGATGAAAGGCTGCCTCTAAGTTACATGTTCCTCCAAACCACATGTGGAAGAGTCCTTGGGCAAGGATCTGAACCCCAAGTTGCCTACTGGTTGCATCTGGTGTGTGATTGGTGAATGACACGTAGTGTAAAGCCCTTTGAATAGTCAGCTTGACTAGAAAAGCACTATATAAGTAGAGTGGGGGAAATAAGTATTTGACCCCTTGCTGATTTTGCAGGTTTGCCCACTTACAAAGAATGCAACGATCTATAACTTTAATCATATGTACATTCTAACAGTGAAAGACAGAATCCCAAAGAAAATTCCAGAAAATCACATCATATGAATTTATAAAAATTGATAACCATCTGATGAGGAAAAATAAGCATTCTTTGTAAGTGGGCAAACCTGCAAAATCAGCAAGGGGTCAAATTTTGAGGTCCTTAAGCCAGTTGATGCCTGTTAGCCACTCCAGGGACTCCCTGTTGGTTCTCACTACCAAATCGCCCGGTAGTCATCCTGCCAAAAGGTCTGACTCAGCACCAGGTGATGATCATTTCACAGCATTGCACCTCTGTTTGACTCAGAGGCAAACGCATACAACCACAAGTCCGATGACCCAATTACAAGGTCTCTCGTGGACGGCCTGGTAGCAGGTACACCCATGAATCATCCTCTATTTGTAATGGACACATGCACACTCACGCTCTGTGTGGCAGGGAGAGGGAAAGAAAGAATGAAAGAATGCAGTGGTTTATGGTTAACAAACACCAAACAAACACTCTTTCTAAGCTTTTTCCCCGGATCCCATCGGAAAGCCTTATGAGGTCAAGAAAATTGGGTCGGAGAGATTTTTAGGAGCTAAGAAAAAAAGGATTTAGAAACATTGAGAATCGAGTTAGCTTCCTGCTTTAGCAGAGTGCAGCTTCTGTGGCTGAGATGCCAAAGAAATCTGAATGTTTCAGTTTCAATGTTTAACCTGGTGCGTAGATCATTCACCAACAATATTTCATGTTCTGAAAGGTTCCGCTTTGCTCCAGTTCATTCACATAGGTTTATTTTTTTCCTTCTCAGGATAGCTTATTAGGAACTACTTTTTTTGTTGGTTTTGTGCTCTAAAAGAGTAACGAGCCTGCCTTTGCATAGTGTTACTAGAATCCTTCATCATATCAGGTATACCCGGTCCACTGACGTAGGTCCTTCTCCTACACACACACTGCACTTAAAGTTTTAGCTAAATTAGCTGTTGATTGATATAAGAAAGCCAAAGACGTAAAGCTGTACCATGTTAGTTTATGTCCACTCCAACAACTGAACATGGGCTAAGGGGAGCAAACCCTCCAAACCCCTGAAAAGACCAGCACCTCATAGGGTCCAGTTTTATTCAGAAACAAACACTGTGATGCTACTCTCTGATGTGAGGCAGATGTGTGATATCTCTGCTGGTGTACAGTCAGCGTTTTGATGCCTGTGCACCACGCTCTTACTGTGCATTTGCTCTGATTTGGCTTAAAACGAGCCTGACGGTGTAAAAAAGGCGATCGAATGCATGATACCCACTCTGTGCTCATTGATCCGGCTCTATTTGTGCTCACTGGAAGCTGCACCTGCTCGGGCTTTTGTCTGGAGTGGATTAGCAGTCTGGTTCGGTCTCATGTTCCCAGACTTCAGAGCAGGATATCACTCCCATGTTTTTACATGTATTCCCTGTAAGGGGTGACAAAGGAAGATCCAACATGAACGTTAAATCACCTTCAGACTTTCAGTCGGCAGAGGTTTCGAAAAAATCGCATTATTAGTCCTTAACATGTCATTTTCTGATCTCCTGCCTGCTTAATGTTTCATATTGATTTCTTTTTTCTAGCAGTGTCAACTGGACACCTAGCATTACGCTCTAATGATAATAACAATATCTACATGACATCCATAGAGACCCACAAAGCAGATACATTACAGTCAGCATCAACCTGACAATAAGCTACATAGAAGAAAATCACTAGTCAGATTCTGTTAGAGGAAACAGTGTAGAGGGAAGAACAGATTCTTATTGCTTTGCCCCTTTTTCCCTTGAGCCCCTCGCTTCAAAGTGGTAAACAGAGAGAATTATTCAAGCTCAGATCAGCTAAAGGCTCTCCATCTCTGTTTCCTTCCCTCGGGGCCGAGGCCGATCTGGGAGGTTTTTGTTTAACGTTATTTCGTTACCTTTGGGTTTCTCACAGAGAGAAAAAGCACCTTTCAATGACCCACTTCTGCAACACAACACATGACATATTGTTTTTGTTGCCTCCGAATCAAAGAGGAGATTCTGTGTTTCGCTGGATTAGATTATTTAGAGAAACTGGAGCTCTGAAATCAGCCTCTCCGCGTGTGACTGTAACAGTTTGGGCTTAGCGTGGGCTCCCACACATACCTGTGGAGATCAGTGAAGGTTTAGTCTGGTTCTTTTGATAAGTAACAGTACACAGCTGTTTAATTAGGGGCTTACACCATTCACCCCGGTGTACTTTGATCCCACTTTGAGGCCTTTGGAGACTTCGGCAACTGCTTTTACCCAGAATTATACGTCATTCTTCAGGACCTCTTTCCGGCCTATCTGATCTGGTCCATCCTCAGACCACAGACCACAACCTGAGACCTTCCATGGGAAGGACACCGATATTGGCTGATGTTTGACAGATGTTAGGGACTCTTATAGATGCCACTGTGTGATTTAGCCTAACTGACCCTCTTCAATTATAGGAGACAGTTCTTGCAGAAGAAGAATGCCTTGAGCTGGGCAGCAGATTCGGTCATATTCGGTTTACAAATTTACAAAGTTCTGAATGGATTAGCCCCACCTCCACTTCCTACCTACATTAGGCCTGGCAGACGTATTTGCACCAGAGCCTCTTCCAGAGATCCCTAGAGATCCCCCCAAAGAAGAACAACCTTTGGACAAACCGTTCTATCATTTAGAGGGGGTCACTTCTGGAACAGCTTCCCAACAAACATCAGGGAAGGTCCCACTTTTTACACATTTAAATAGCACCTTAAACTGTTTCTCAAAAAATTCCCAGTCATGCCATCACTAATTTTAATTTTGTAATGTCATTGTCTGAACGTGTGTCTCTCTGTTTTAACTGATATTGTATTATGTGATTTTGTGTTGTTTTGTCTTCCTGCCTCAGGACAATTCAATTCAATTCAATTCAATTTTATTTATATAGCACCACATCACAACAACAGTTGTCTCACAGCGCTTTCCAAACTGAGCAGGTCAGACCCTACTCTGAAGTTAACTACAGAAACCCAACAATTCCCACCATGAGCAAGCACTAGGCGACACAGGCAAGGAAAAACCTCCTTTTAACAGGCAGAAACCTCGAGCAGAACCATGGCTCAGGGTGGGCGGCGGCCATCTGCCTCGGAAACAGATGTAAATTAGCAACCATGCTAGAATCTGGCTCATTTACAATCTGTATGAGATTGTTCATTAATGTGCACTGTCCTGATTAAATAAATAAATAAACAAATGAGTATTGTTCTAGCTGTCTGTATCGGACTCTCTAACGGTCCGGTTTCTTTCCCCCCACAGAGGATGAACCCGTGGTGTTTGCCAATAATTCCCTCCAGAGGCGGAAGAAGGCAACGGGGCTCACCGTGCTGCTGCCCACCGCCTCGGGCTCCATCAAGAACAAGGGAGGCCTCACCATCAGCGAGCCCCTCAACTTCAGGCAGATATCCTCCATCATCGACGTGGACATCCTACCGGAGACCCACCGGCGGGTGCGCCTGCACAAACACGGCACCAGAAAACCGCTGGGCTTCTACATCCGTGACGGGGTGAGCGTCCGGGTGACGCCGCAGGGAGTGGAGAAGGTAAGGCCGGTTTTTACTACCGTCTATGTTTATGTTTGTGCTGTTATCCAAAGCTTACAAGGTAGACGCAATGTTACAGTTATCATAAGGTCTCTAGAGGAAAAACCCCAGTCAGAATCAGTGGTGACAGCAAAGAGATAGAGGGAAAAACAGGAAGAGTTGTATAGGGTAAGGAGGAATGGGGTTAGGATAGAAGATGCCCTTTAAAGAGGTGGGTCTAGGAGTTTCCTTAAGATAGACACTCCACTTTCAACTGATCCTAGCTGCTTCATTCATCAGACTACTCAAACCCAGGGTGGAGGACAGTCGTTTCAAAGAGAGATAAACCCATGTTTCAGTAAACAAAGCATCAGAATCAAGGACTGTCCACAACAAAGACCGTTCATGTAAAAGTCCATCAAATGGCTAAAGGCCCCAGGACATGTTTATGTTTATTCATTTAGATGCTTTTATCCAAAGCTTACAAAGTAGACACAATGTTACAGTCATCATAAGGTCTCTAGAGGAAAAACCCCTGTCAGAATCAGTGGTGACAGCAAAGAGATAGAGGGAAAAACAGGAAGAGTTGTATAGGGTAAGGAGGAATGGGGAAGAGTCAGGATAGGATATGCTCTTTAAAGAGGTGGGTCTCTAGGAGTTTCCTTAAGATAGACACTCCACTTTCAACTGGTCATAGCTGCTTCATTCATCAGACTACTCAAACCCCAGGGTGGAGGACAGTCGTTTCAAAGAGAGATAAACCCATGTTTCAGTAAACGAAGCATCAGAATCAAGGACTGTCCACAACAAAGACCGTTCATGTAAAAGTCCATCAAATGGCTAAAGGCCCCAGGACATGTTTATGTTTACGCATTTAGACGTTTTTATCCAAAGCGAGTTACAAAGTAGACACAATGTTACAGTTATCATCAACATAACAATAAGTTCTCTAGAGGAAAATCCCCTGTCAAAATCAGTGGTGACAGCAAAGAGATAGAGGGAAGCAAAGGAAGAGTAGTAGAGGGTACGGAGGAATGGGGTTAGGATAGAAGATGCCCTTTAAAGAGGTGGGTCTCTAGGAGTTTCCTGAATATAGACAGGGACCTGCTGCTGTTCTTGTAGCTCCTTCCTCCATCTTGAAAACAGTCTGATCGTCTCAACGTGGACCAGTTCTGCTGGACCAGAACCCACCGATGACCAGCAGGGACATGAGCCTTTACAAGAGGGTTCAAGTAGACGGTAGCTGAACCCTTAAGGACTTTGTAGGCATCAGGGAGCCTGGATTTGATGCGGGCAGCCAGGGGTAACCAGGGGTGACTAGGGGTAACCAGAGGTAACCAGGGGTAACCAGTGAAGCTCAGTGAACAGAGGGAGGACGTGAGACTTTTTGGGCTGATTGAAGACCAGATCATTTGGATCATTTGTAACGGTTTTACCATCCAGGCTCAGGAGATGACCACAGACTGACGAGGAATTGGGGAGCATGTTGGGTTAGGGAGGGCCGGATCTTTCTTATGTTTAGTAGTGTGAAGCAACAAGATGGAGAAACAGTGGTCACATGACCTTTAACTCATTGGCTGCCAAAGACGTCTATAGATGTCTTTTATGTTTTTCAACGCGAGTGACTTGGGGGACGATCTGTTGAAGATTGTCCGTAAATATCGGCTTCTAGACAGAGTATGTACTAACAAATTGACCCTCTAGGTGGCAGTGCCACTTTTGATGGGAGATGAGCATAGACTGTAGGCAAATAAGAAAAAGGTAACGGTTCGCTATGCGAAAAATGGCGCCGGTGAGACGCAAGTCGAGGAAGAACGGAATAAGGTAGAAACAAAAAGATTTTCCTGATGAAAGAAGAGAGTCTACTCTTTCTTTTGGTGTGTTCGGTGTTTACATAGTCATAGCACAAACTATTCTGTGGCTCTTGAAAAATCAGTCAAAATGCTCAAAAAACTCTGGCAGTATGGGACTCTGTTCTGAAAATGGCTGGCAGTCAATGAGTTAAAGGTCAGCTAGTTGTCAATCATGACACCACCTCAGGACCAGCTCCCTGTTGGGACGTAACTAAGAACACGAGAAGCTGTCCTGCTGGATCTTAGTAGATCTGTTGGTCCCTTTGGGTTGTAGAGGGGTTCTGGACTCCATTAGGGGCAGAAGTTCATGGGGGGAAAACATCGTCACTCCATCTATGGAACATACAGTGGGGGAAATAAGTATTTGACCCCTTGCTGATTTTGCAGGTTTGCCCACTTACAAAGAATGCAACGATCTATAACTTTAATCATATGTACATTCTAACAGTGAAAGACAGAATCCCAAAGAAAATTCCAGAAAATCACATCATATGAATTTATAAAAATTGATAACCATCTGATGAGGTAAAATAAGCATTCTTTGTAAGTGGGCAAACCTGCAAAATCAGCAAGGGGTCAAATACTTATTTCCCCCACTGTAGGCGTGTTGTAGATACACTAAAACAGTACAAAATGTTTTAGAAATTCCCTAAATTGGATCCAGCAGCAGACAGAGATACGCAGAAAGTCAGAGTCCTGGTGATAAGGCAGAGGAGGACACCCTGTCTAAGACCTTCTCTCTCTCTCTCTCTCTCTCTCTCTCTCTCCATCCCTCTCTCTCTAAGAAAATTGGACGGTTGTTAAAAATTTTTCTTGGTCAAGCAAAGCTTGCAACATATTTGAGTAGAAAATTTAAAATGAACAATGAACAGAATATTGATTGTGTAAACTCTTTAAGAGTATGGTGAGAGCAAGAGTGATGTTAGAATATAAATATTATTCAAAAATGGATGAACTGAATATTTTTCAGAATATTTGGGATTATGAAGGTGTTTTGTTTACTGTAAATGATTCTGAACTGTCATTTATGAAGGTGCTAATTTGATGTTGCGTTGAATGTTCCTATGTTTCACCAATGAGTGAATAAATGAGTTTTTAAAAATCAAAATCAATCTCTCTCTCTCTCTTTCTCTCTCTCTCTCTCTCTCTCCTGGCCTCTGAAGGTTCCTGGGGTCTTCATATCCCGCCTGGTGCGAGGCGGACTCGCAGAAAGCACAGGACTTCTGGGCCTCAACGATGAAATCCTGGAGGTCAACGGCATTGATGTAGCGGGAAAATCTTTGGATCAGGTAAAGGAGCTGATAATGCTACTTCACCCATGTCGGGCTCATCCTAATAAAGTGACCGTAGAATGATGACGGACCAGAGGTATTCGAGCTGTAAGTGCTGGATTTTTGATCACATAGCCAGTTAAACTCAGTTTACCAGTTCATTGGACAGCCAGAGAATTAACCACATGAAGTCAGGCGTCAGTTGTTTCTAAGCAAACCTGAATTCAAACCATGGTCATTGGTAAAAACATATTTAAAAAGCATTTGCCATTAAAAAGTTGAATAATTAGAAATGAATACAGTGACCAAAACAACCCATTGGGATCATGGCAAAGTAATAGATTTTACACAAAAAGCTAAATACAAGCCAACCTGAATTCAAACCATGGTCATTGGTAAAAACGTATTTAAAAAGCGTTTGCCATAAAAAGTTGAATAATTACATATGAATACAGTGAGCAAAACAATCCATTGGGATCATGGCAAAGTAATAGATTTTACACAAAAAGCTAAATACAAGCCAACCTGAATTCAACCTGAATTCAAACCATGGTCATTGGTAAAAACGCATTTAAAAAGCATTTGCCATTAAAAAGTTGAATAATCGGATATGAATACAGTGAGCAAAACAATCCATTGGGATCATGGCAAAGTA